TCAGTGGAGTTGGTTCCTCCTAAGGACTGCGTGGAAGAATCTGTTCTGTGACTCTCTCCTAGTTTCTTGGGCTGTTTGGCAATCATTGGTATTCCTTGACTTTAGATGCATCACCTCAGTCTCAGCCTTCATCATCACTTGGCATTATTTCCATGTGCACATCTACCACAATGTCCACATTTCCCTGTTTACAAGGATACAGTCACATTGGGTGAGACTCCATGCTAATGACTTTATCTTAACTTGATCATGTTGAAATATCTTATTTCTAAATAGGGTCACATTCACAGGAAGCTAAGGTTAGGACTTCAACAACTTTTGGAGGACATAATTCAACCCATAACATTAACTTAAGGCTCTCAACAAAATAACAAAGAACAAGTAGGGTTCAAGTCCTCCAACAAAGACTCTACAAAGTTCCAGAAAATCTCCTCCCAGTCCTGTGCCTTCAGACTTGAATGAAGTTTTTAGAAAGCAACATTTATTCCTCAAATTCCATGTTCAAAATCTTAGAAAGGGAGTAAAAGAGTCAAGGCAAGGTCATCAAAATGAAATAAAAGTAAATGGAATGTTTGGGTGAGCAAAATATAAAGAATTGTCACTGCAAACATGAACATTTTATAGCAAAAATAAGTAACGTATTAAACAAAAGAGAGATGAAGAACTCAGTCTGGAAGAAATTATAATCCAAACACCATAAGAAAACCTCCATATTAAAGGGGAATTTAGTGAAGACATAAATTTTGAGAAAAAATTATTCAAAGATAAGATTATTACAAATAGCAGAATCACATTAAAAGAAATATTACTGAAGGAAAAAAATCAAGAATTAAAATGGCATTATTATAAACCAAGAAGTTGGATAGCATCTAAAAGAATAGAAGAGTTCAATTTTAATTACTTATCTTATCATTGATTACTTACAATTAATTACTTATTGCAATAAATGTAGAGAAAGTAGGAAATAGGTAGAGACAAATGAAATTCATCAAGAGAAAAAAATACAGAAAAGAGGACAAAGACCATCCAACATAAATGTAATTGGTAGTCTTTAAAACCATTCAATGATACAATGCTAAAAAGTTTTTGAAATGAATTTATAGGTCACACACAGTTATATGAAAAGAGATAAATATATGTTTATGATAAGTTATAGCTTAGAAAATAATTATTTAAGTTATGGATGGAGATTTGAGTAGCTTATAGGAGGCAATTAGGGTGGCCTTAGACATCTTTCCACCAGCATACCATGCCAGAGAAAAATAAAGCAGCATCTACATTTATAAAAGTATAAGAAATAGAAACTATAACAAGACATTTATACCTAGCATTGTTCTTCATTAAGTCATAGACTTATTCTTAAAATTACAGAATTTTCTCAAGCGTGAAAAAATTGAGGAAATGTAGTACCCAAGATCCTTTCTTTCAAAAATTGATCGATGACCAAATGTAATAACAAAGATAAATATATGTATATAAATTAATTGAAAATAGATAATATTTGCTAAAATATGAGTGTGGAGCATTTGAATACAGATTTAAGAAAAAATAACTATGGGACTTATAGTCATATAACAATGTAAATATTATAAACCATAGCAACTTAACAGTATAATTAACAAAACTAAGAATGATAGAGAAGTGGAAAAGTGTAGAGTGTACTAATTTACTTTGCTTCCAAAGCAGGGAGACAAATTGGTAGTAATTGGTTTTAAAAAAGAAAAAGAAAAAAAAGGATTTTTTAATTTTTCATTTTTTATTCTTTTTAGGGAAAGTTTAGTAGCTACCATCTTCTGAAATTAAAACAAAAAGAATCTGAACTTTACCATTTCCTTTATTTGCAGTCTGATTTCTTTCATTCTGTTAAATATAATAAAAAATAAATTCAGGACGCCTGAGTAGCTCAGTTGATTAAATATCCAATTCTTGGTTTCAGTTCAGGTTATGATCTCACGGTTGGTGGGTTTGAGCCGTGTGTCCAGCTCTGCTCTGTGTGAAGCCTGCTTGGGATTCTGTCTCCCTCTCTCTCTGCTCCTCTCTTGCTTGAACTTTCTCTCTCTCAAAATAAATAAACTTTAAAAAAATAAATTTCAATGTTTTTTGTTAAAAATAGCATGCAAGATGTGATTTTATTTTTATAAAATTTCTTTCTCTGTTAGTGTATCTATCCTTCTCTCCATATATTTATAGATGTTTGGAATAATCTGTACCTAATATCTATCATAATTAGTTCTAGGTGGAGAAACGTGGGAATTTTTTAATTTTTTATTTTTCTGTACTGCTGCAATTTCTTCTTTGAATTTGTAGCATTAAAGCAATAACAGGGGTGCCTGGATGGCTCAGTTGGTTAACTGTTTGACTTCAGCTCGGGTCATGATCTCACAGTTCATGAATCTGAGTCCCATGTCAGACTGTGCTGACAGCTCGGAGCCTGGAGCCTGCTTCGGATTCTGTGTCTCCCTCTTTCTCTGCCCCTCCCCGGCTCGCACTCTGTCTCTCTGTCTCTCAAAAATACACAAAACATGTTTTAAAATTTTTAAAAATAAAAATAAAACAATAACAAGTCAGTTTTCAAAACAATAGAAATGGCTATTTGTATAAGACACTAAACAACTAAATAGAGAACCACTAACCATTTCTGTATCCTTATTCATTTTAACAATCAGATTTGCTTCCTCATCTTTAGTTCCATAGTTTTACACTCTTTGAATTTTGAAGAGTATTATTAGGATGCTTATTAACTTAGGAGCCCATTCATATAGACATCCTGTCATAGTATAGTATGAAATATTCTTATGTTATTGATTCTACACAGAAAAAGAGTTCATATTATCAATTTCCTTGAAGAGAACATTGCTAGCTGAACTTATTTGAGCCTTATTTCTGTAAATGTTGTTGTTGGCATAATGAAATATTGTCAGCCTTCAGCTCACTAAGCATATAATCCCATCAACTATTAGTTGTCTTCCTCAGGGAGTGCAAAAACATTGCTAAGGACCTGTCATCTTACCAAGCTATGACTGATAGCCCCTAGCAGAATACACAAATGAAAAAGGACACAGTTTTAAAGAAGCAGTGTAGAGTAAATAATGTCTCTGTATGACCAGGGAGGGGCAATCTTATGGGAACACTGTCTACTACTTTGTTAAAACTAAAAGAATGCTAGAAGTCCATGTGGCATGTTGTTTTATTTCCAACTTTCTTCTTCAAGTTTTGGGCAAATTTCCAGTTTATTATGGTTCAACTAGAATTGATACATATTTATAAATATAATTCAGACATTGCAAAAGTTTACTTTTCCTTTCATTGTTCTTATACCTTAAACAAATTGTTCTGAGGGAACTGTTGGTACAAATGAGGTCAATTTGTACTTTTGGTTGCTAAGGAGCTGGTCAACTGGTGACCTGATTACCTTATTCATCACTGTTGGATAAAGTCTCCAATGCACTAAATATTCCAATATGTGGATTCAATAAGCAGAAGTTCTGAAGATCTGATATGCACAAAGCTTCATGCTGAAATGGAGAAATAATTAAAGTCCAGGTGATCTGTTATGTCACTTTAGATTTTATCTTTTCCATAATTTACACACACACACACACACACACACACACACACATACACACACACAATGATAAAAGGAGCTAATAGAGACTTTAGACATATTTTAAAAGTAAAATATTTAAACTTTATAAACTGTCTCTGGTATGATCCATTCAAAATCACCATAATTTCTGGATATAGCCAGAGTTGAAAAGGATAGAAGGAGAACATTTTTTTTTAATGTTTGCTTGTTTGTTTTGAGAAGAGTGAGTGGGGAGAGGGAGACAGAGAATCCCAAACAGGCTTCGTGCTGTCAGCACAGAGCCTGATGCAGGGCTCAAACTCATGAATGGTGAGATCATGACCTGAGCCAAAATCAAGAGTTGGATTTGGATGCTTAACCAACTGAGCCACCCAGGTGCCCCAGGAGAAGAACTTTATAGCACAGCTGTATCTAGCTAGCTAGCTAGCTATTTATAGGCTCCATGCCCAATGCATCTCACAACCTTGAGATCAAGAGTTGCATGCTCTACTGACTGAGCCAGCCAGGCACTCCAGCATAGTTGTATCTTTAAAATAGAGTACAAGATAACCAGCAAAAGAAGAAAAAAGAAAGGGTCACTTGGAACAATTGTTGGCATTTTTAACTTTGCATCGTAGAAGTGCTCAATTTAGTATAAAAATTTTAGGAAAAAGAAAAGGCCATGCATTCATGCAGCATAATAACACAAATATAAAACTGAGTAACTGACATTGCCAGGCAGATCAAAGTTGAAAATGTCAACATCTTATCTTCAATATGCCTTCCGTGTAGTAGGTGGGATGATATCAATAAATAGGTAACAGTGATATGAAAAATGACAAACTGTGAATTTTCCAAAGAAGTGTGGTGGCCACTGTGATGTGCTATGCACATCCCCTTCAAGAATGAAAGATTTGTTCCCCCACTGCTGGCAGAAAATCTTTAGGTGTCAGCCTCTGCAGAATTGCCTTAGCTGAAGAGAATCACTTCGATCAAGGACATACAGCCTTGCATCCTAATGATTAATTGATGTAGGGGTATAAATGCCAGCCCCCTTATCTCAACTTCAGAACACTCCACAGAGTGATCTGAGGCCCTCACTGAAATTAAATCAACGTCCGTAGCTGCTCAGTCCTGCTGTTTAATCTTTCCTTCCAAGGGTGTTGCTCTCAAGGTTACTCCCTGAGAAATCATCTACATGTTAATTGCTGCTTCCTGAGGAACCAACTCTGTAGAACTTCCTATCACTAAAAGTTTGAGAAAGCAGATGGTGAGATGGCATTTTGGAACTGGATCATTTACCACTTGGCTGGCAGTAAGACCCTAATCACTAGTCGTAGGTGGAACACAAATAGCCTCTGGTAGGTGGCAGTGTAATCATTAAAACTTGTACTGGTGAACTGGGATAGAATAGTGGTGGAAGAGAATTCATTAGCCGGTGTGATATTATCAGGCTTTTGAGAAATGGAGTAGAAATAGGATCTATAAAGACTATGGAAGTAGATAACTCTTGCTAGGTTTTATCGATATGCAGGACCAGTAGGCAGAAGATGAGTTATTATCTGGCTTGGGTAACTGATACTGGTAAGGCTGCTGTCATACAAGCAGTCAGGGAAGAATGTGTTTGGGACAAGATAGTATGTTTGGGATTCTCTTGATGGCTGCTTATCCCATTTTGACAGTAAATGGACAAGTACCTTGTGGCTCTCTCTCCTGTCATGGAAGCAGTGTTGCTTTAGAAGCCAGAAGACCCAGGTGAATTCTAATGTGAACTAAGTATTAATTATTTATGTGAGTTGCTACATAGCTCTGGTTTTTAGTTTCCTATGTATGACATGAGGAGGCTGAACAGCTGATGTCTAAGTTATTTCAAGCATTATTACTATTATAAAAGAAAAAAATGAACACATATTATAGTATGACATTTAAAAGAAGCCACGGATTTCATGTTTTTTTAATGTCGCATTTCGTGCACAGTCTAGAGAAGAAAACATATAACCTTGTGTTTTTCACTCTTTTAGTATGGTAAGTGGAACAATTCATTATGTGATGCAAGGAATCATCAGTAAAAGATAAATTCACCAAATAGAAGCAAAAGAGCATATTAAAGCAGAAACCATTAGCATATCTCTACAACTTAAAGTATTTTGTGCTTCTATTATACAGATGGATGGAAAGAATTCATACTTCAGAATTGGGATGAAGCATTCATGTGAAGGAGAGGAAGTACCACCTGATTTCTGGAATCTGATTCAAAACAGTTCACAAAAAAAGTTTAATGTTTTAGCATTCTACTGCTTAGTTCTAATTTTAGAATGTTTAGTTTAAAAATTACCTGAAAAAACCTAGTAGAGCTTTATCTGGGTCTGGTTTGAAGATGGTCTCTGTAGTAGTAAAATTATTTATTTATTTTTTTTTCCAACGTTTTTATTTTATTTTGGGGACAGAGAGAGACAGAGCATGAACGGGGGAGGGGCAGAGAGAGAGGGAGACACAGAACTGGAAACAGGCTCCAGGCTCTGAGCCATCAGCCCAGAGCCTGACGCGGGGCTCGAACTCCCGGACCGCGAGATCGTGACCTGGCTGAAGTCGGACGCCCAACCGACTGCGCCACCCAGGCGCCCCAGTAGTAGTAAAATTTTTTAAATCCAGTTAATATAGCAATAGGGTGGGTGATAACCATTCACACATTTTCTTTTCACCACCTGCTAAGATTACTCAGGAAGCTGTAGTGTATATAGAAATATGTCACATTAAAGCCCGAAAGTCCTAATACAAATTACATTCACCTTATGAGTCAGACAAACCACTTAAACTTTCTGTTTTGTTAAATTGATTTTTTAAAAAGTGTGTGTGTGTGTGTGTGTGTGTGTGTGAGACAGAGAGAGAGAGAGAGAGAGAGGAAACTCTGAGAACAATGAATATTACTGATATGTCAGTTGTTGCTTCTTTAATTCATTTAACTTCATTAATCAAAGACTATCTTGTAGGTAATTTGAAACCACTATGAAGTCATTTTTCCACTTTAAAAATGTTGATTTTCTTTATAATAAGTAATCTTAATAAACTTCCATTACCAGGTTTACAGAGATCATAAAAACTTCCACTGCTATATGGTATCAATAACACTACTATACTCATGACTTAGTATATGAAACAAAAACATCAGGAAGAGAACCCGGTTCAGTACCTTAACTGATCATCATTGTTCCTCTTTAGTCAGCCAGCAATAGATCTGGTTTGTCATAAAAGCTGTGGGTATGAGATAATTATATTAACTTCCAAACAGAAACCTAATTCTAAGCACAATCTTAGCATTTGTTGTTGTTGCTGTTGTTTTTAATTTTTAGGATAAGATTAGAATTTGTTTTTTCAGTCATCATTCCTTTATCTTACATGTTAACCACATACATGTGAAGTGGCTATGATATGCCATTTACATAATAAAATATTTACTGCTTTGCAGCTTTGGCTCTACACTGGGTCTAAAATACTCTGATTACAGAGCTTTCTCAAGATCTTTGATCTTTTGTTTCATAAGAATTGTGTATGCTCTGAATACATAGTATAAGCCACACCCACATTTTCCAACTTTCCCTCTCTACCTGTTTTTTCCCCTGCTCTGCTTTCTGCTATGCCTTTCATTTCATTACTCATTCATTTCTAAAAAAGATGTAGTGACCACTCATTCTTCTGAAAAATTCTGAAACAAAGGAAGATACTGTATCCATAAATAGGAAGATTCAATATTGTTAAGATATCAATTTTCCTCAAATTAATCTAGAGATTTAAAACAATGCCAGTCATAATCCATCAGGCTTTTTTAGTGGAAATTGATAATCTGCTTCTAAAATGTACATGGAAATTCAAAGGAACTAGAATAGACAAAACAATCTTCAAAAAGAAGAAAATAAGTATTTACACTATCTTCTTGATAGTGTAATCAAGAATCTATCTTGATTCAAGATCTTGCTTGAAGATCTTGCTTCAAGATCTTGCTTGAAGATCTTGCTTCAAGATCTACCATACATATGCAGTAACCAAGACAGAATAATTCTGGTGTAAATCAGTGAAACAATAAGGAGCTCGGAAATAGGCCCACCTTATCAGATTGTTCAGTTGTCTACAAAGGCACTAAAACAATGCAATGGGGAAAAGGAAGCCTAAGAATGATGCTGGAAGAATTGAATAATTACATTAGAACACATAAACATAAAAGGTAAACATGTAACAATGTTTTTAGAAGAAAACAGGTTTTTGGGAGTTGGAAGAGAGAAGTTTTATTTTAAGGCCACAATAATCAATAACCATAAAAGAAAAATTATTTTATTTAAAAAAATAAAAAATTATTTTTATTTTATGTTATTATAATGCTGAGTAAATTACTCTTCATCAGAATTTTAAAAAACCTTTGTTCATCAAAAGACACAATTAAGAAATTGAATAGGTAAGCAAAATCCCAGGAGAAAAATATTCATGAATTATGTATCTGACAAAGGTCCATATATATTTCTGAAGAGGTAACCTACATCATTAGTCATCAGAGAAATATAAATTAAGATCACAATAAGATGCCACTCCATACCTACCAAAATGTTTGAAATTTAAAAAGACACAACATAAAATGTTTGTGAGTATATTAACCAACTAGAATTCTCAAACCCTGGTAGCTGGAGTGTAAAATGGTACAAAAATCCTAGAAAAACTTTTGGTAGATTCTCATAAAACTAGATGTATACCTTACCCTATAACTCTGCAATTCTGCTCCTAGGTAGTCACCAAATAGAAATTAAAATATATGCTTGTATAAAGACCTAAAACAAATTTTCATAGCATCTTTATTTATGTTAGATTAAAAACTGGAAGCAGCCCAAGTGTCCATGAAAAAAAAATAGATAATTTATCATGTACTCAGCTTTTTCCCAACGGGTTTGTCACCAGAACACAGGTATCATGAAAACCATCCCTAAACCTAAACCAAAATGGAAAGGAAGACTTTCATATGATCATCATTGTCATTGGACATGTAGATTCAGGCATGTCTACCATTACTGGTCATCTGATCTACAAATGTGGTGGGATTGACAAAGAACTATTGAAAAATTTGAGAAGGAGGCTGCTGAGATGGGAAAAGGCTCTTGCAAGTATGCCTGGGTCTGGACAAACTGAAAGCTGAATGTGAATGTGGTATCACCATTGATACCTCCCTGTCGAAATTCAAGACCAGCAAGTATTATGTGACCATCGTTGATGCCCCAAGACACGGAGACTTTATCAAAAATGTGATTACAGGCACATCTCAGGCTGACTGTGCTGTCCTGATTGTTGATGCTGGTGTTGGTGAATTTGAAGCAGGTCTCTCCAAGAATGGACAGCCACCAACTTGTTCACCAACTTGTCCAAGTGACAAGTCCTTGCCCCTCTATGATGTCTCCAAAAGTGGTGGTATTACTACTGTCCCTGTGGCCCTAATGGAGACTGGTATTCCTAAACCTGGTGTGGTGGTCACCTTTGCTCCAGTCAATGTTACAACTGAAGTAAAGTCTGTTGAAATGCACCATGAAGCTTTGAGTGAGGCTCTTCCTGGGGACAACGTGGGCTTCAATGTCAAGAACATGTCTGTCAAAGATGCTCATTGTGGCAATGTGGCTGGTGACAGCAAAAATGGCCCACCAATGAAAGCAGTTGGCTTCACAGCTCGGGTAATTATCTTGAACTATCCAGGCCAAATCAGTGCCGGATATGCACCTGTGCTGAATGGTCACACAGCTCACATTGCCTGCAGGTTCGCTGAGCAGAAGGAGAAGATTGTCATTCTGGAAAAAAAGCTGGAAGATGGTCCCAAGCTCTTGAAATCTGGTGATGTTGCCATCATTGATATGGTTCCTATGTGTGTTGAGAGCTACTCTGACTATCTTCCTCTGGGCCATTTTGCTCTTTATAACATTTGAAGACAGTTGCTGTGGGTATCATCAAAGCAGTGGGCAAGAAGGCAGCTGGAAGTGGCAAGGTCACCAAGTCTGCCCAGAAGCTCAGAAGGCTAAATGAATATATCGCCAATACCTGCCACCCCAGTCTTAATCAGTGATGGAAGAATGGTCTCAGAACTGTTTGTGTCAATTGGCCATTTAAGTTTAATAGTAAAAGACTGGTTAATGATAACAATGCATTGTAAAACCTTCAGAAGGAAAGGGAAATATTTTGGGGACAACTTGTGTGTGTGTGGAAAAGTCAGTACTTTTTACAGACACAACTTGACCAAATATCTGTCAAAGAATTTTGAGATCCATTAAAACAAAAGTTTAATGAGAAATAAACAAAACAAAAATCAATTATGGTATACTCAGTCAATGGAATACTATTAAGCAATAGAAATGAACAAATTACTAATATATACAATGTTGATGTGCCTGAAAATTTTTGAGGTATCTGAGTAAAAGATACCTTATACAGAAGTGTACATATTTTATTGTTCGATTTATATGAAGTTCTATAATAGGTAAAACTAATCTCTGGTGGGAAAAATAACCAAAACAGTAGGTGTCTTTGGGGAATATGCAAAAGGTTTGATCAGGAAGGGGCCCAAGAAAACTTTCTCAGAAGATAATGATATTCCTTATCTTGACAAATCTTTGGGTTACATAGATATTCCTGTACAACAAAAGTTATCATATGGTGCACTTAAGATTTGTGCAATTCACCGTATGGCAATTTAAAGTTTATTTATTTGAGAGAGAGAGAGAGAGAGAGAACACACAAGAGAAAGAGAATGAGCAGGGAGGGGCAGAGATAGAGGGAGAGAGAGAATCCCAAACAGGCTCCATGTTCTGCACAGAGCAGGGTTGACTGTGAGATCATGATCTGAGCCAAAACCAAGAGTCGGACACTCAACCAACTGAGTCACCCAGGTGCCCCACACTGTATGGCAATTTAAACTAAAAAAAGAAAAAGCTATAAACAAATATGGAACTCTAGTTAAGGACATGCATCCTGAAGTGTTTAGGGGTGAAGGGTACTGATATTGGCAACTTACTTTAAAATGTGTCTGTAATGAGACAGATTGATGAAATGTCAGAGAAATGGATGGTTGGATAGATATGTGACAAAGCAGAGTGAGCAAAACGCTTATTTTATTTATTAAAAGATTTTTTAAATGTTGATTTATTTTTGAGAGAGAGAGACACACACACACACACACACACACACACACAGCATGAGCGGGGGAGGGACAGAAAGAGATGGAGACACAGAATCCACACAGATGGAGACACAGGCTCTGAGCTGTCAGCACATAGCCTGATGTGGGGCTTGAACCACAAACTGTGAGATCATGACTTGAGCCAAAGTCGGACCCATAACCGACTGAGCCACCCAAGTGCCCAAAATGTATATTTTAACATCTAGATTGTGTTCAAGTCAAGCTTCTTATATCTTTGAAATTTTTTGTTAATAAAATATGGGATAAAAGCAGTAAAAAAAAATGAAAGTTAATTTTAAAATTTAGTGATGCTTATACTAAATAAGCTTCTAATTTGAAATTATCTGACTCAATATATTATATGTATTATGAGAAGATAATTTATTAAATGGCAATAAAAAAAGAGAGCTGTGAATGAAAAAACTGTTTGTAAAGTGCTAAAAGAATCCTGAGTGCCATGGGATTGAGTTTGATTTTTTTTACCCAACATTTTCAGTAAAACACTTGTAACCATGATAGCATATTTGATTTTACCATATAGAATAAGATTCACACTTAAATTAGTATGTAACATTTTTAAATTGAAAGAGACCTTAGCAATCATCTTTTAATCCCTTTGTTTTAAAGATGTGAAAGCTGATGTCCTCAAGGACTGAGTTTACTCTAAGTCACAAAGCTAGTAAATACCAGCATGCTTACCAAAAACAAGACAAAACAAAACAAAACTGTGAAATCTGATTCATTTCCCTTTGAAGTTCTTTTGTACGAGTGTGAGAATCAGTCAGACCAGCATCTAGACTACCAGGAAGAGGCATCTGTGAGAAGGGAGTAATAATGCCTGCTCTGCTACAGGAAATACCAACGCGCTTTGGATTGTTCTTAAGATGGTGAGAAACTTAAATACCACTCGTTATTTTCAATGTATGTGTAATACATCGAGATCTACACTTCAGGTCAGTGGATTTCCAAATGGGACTGATGTACTGACTGTGATTTAACTCATTATTTCCCATAAAATTTACATCGGTCAGAATGCATAATCCAAGTGACCATGAGAGACAAATACATATGAAAGTAGAGCAAAGTGGAACACATTTAGATAGTTAGAAGGTTCATTAATCTTCACCATAAATTAAATTCTTCAACTGAAGGAGAATTTACAAGTTTTATTTTTATATACAGTCTTCAAAGAGATTTGGAATAAAACAAATGTATTCAAATGCATAAATGTAAGCCATCCTCAAAGTAAAACATTAAATCTGAAGAAATATATTATTTGATAGGAACATAGCAATAAAATATTCAACAAAAACCCACAGAGTCTAAAGGATTTTCATTTCATGTGGACTCAAAGTATTCCATTTTCATTATTTTTATTTTTTTTAATTAATTTATTTAGAGAGACAGAGAAAGCGTGAGTTGGGGAGGGGCAGAGAGAGAGGGAAAGAGAGAGAACCCCAAGCAGGTTCCACACTGCCAGCATGGAGCCTGATGTGGGGCTCAAACCCATGAACCAAGAGATCATGACCTGAGCCAAAATCAGATGCTTAACTGACTGAGCCATCCAGGCACCCCCCAAAGTATTCCATTTTTAAAATGCTAACTTTTAAATATATATTGGCATAACCTTTACTGCATCTTGCCCCTACAGAGAAGACTAAAAAAGAAAATATGCTCAATAATTAGTTTCCTCATAATAAAATTCCCAGAAGAGCATTATAAAAAAATAAATGTCAAGATAGCCATGGATATATAAGAATCTTCTGGGAACTCTGTGGAACACTATTTATTAATATACAGATAAGTACTTTTTAATTTATCTATTCAATGGCTGAATGAGTAGAAAAAATAATAAATGTTCATAGAGTTTTACAATTTTCAGGATATTCTATTTCCTTTTTTTTTTTTTAACTTTTATTTATTTTTGAGAGACAGAGAGGCAGAGCATGAATGGAGAGGAGCAGAGAGGGAGACACAGAATCTGAAGCAGGCTCCAGGCTCTGAGCTGTCAGCACAGAGCCTGAAGCAGGGCTTGAGCCCACGAACTGTGACCTGAGCCGAAGTAGGATGCTTAACCGATTGAGCCACCCAGGCGCCCTTTGTTTTCTTTATCTGATATGATCTTCATAGTATCAAACTGTGCAATATCAAAAGTTGGAGTGGATATTAATATCCTTATTTCACCTGTTAAGCAGTTGAGGCTCAAATATTAGTCTAAAAAATAGCAATGTGCTATTAATAAAATCAGATGATGGAAAAATATATAGTAATTTGTCAGGTTCTCAGAGTAAATAAATATCAAAGACATGTCTAAAACATGCTTTCAAGCTAGTGTTTTTTCCACTGAAACTTCTATCTAAATTTATCACTTAAGTGCTATCACATCAAGTCATGTTTTTATTTTTGAAAAATCCATTAGTTCCATCAAAGCATCATAAATCTGTTTCCATGTTTTCCTAATATGCTTGACAAAATGACATATAAACATAGAATTCCAGAATAGGGCACGATAATTCAGTATACTCAAATTGATGGTAGTAAGAATGAAATGGTAAGCACAACTTGGCCTTTCTTGCTCCTTCTTTCTCCTTTCTTTCCTTTCTTCTATCAATTTATCTATGTATCATCTATCTATCTATCTATCTATCTATCATCTACCTATCTATACTTTTAAGTACATCAGAATATACTCTTGTGAAAATTAATAAAAAGAAACCTCCTTTAGAAAGGATTCAGGAGGCAAGCAAGGGAGATCTCGTGCCCTACTACTCATCATCAATTGCAGACCCAGCAGGAAGAGACATGCCTTGCAAGCCCATACTACTTGAGCCCCTACTTTACCATCCCAGCAGGAGGAAGAAAGTTTTCCTCTTCCTCAACAACAGGTAGCAGCCTAACCAATGAGAGTCATAACTCAGCCAATGAAAAGCCACTATACTTCAAATTCCCAGTTACTCCCAAAGACTTTTTGTTTATGACCGCACTCCCTAGTTCCCTCTTTCCTCTATAAAACAGTCGTCCTCTCCTGTATCTTACTGGTTTTGCAGTAGCTTGCTTCTCCCAGATTGCAATTTTCTTCTATTCCCAAATAAACCCATTGTCTTGTTTTGCTGGCATAATAGCTGGCAGTTTTATTCATGAGGTTAACTCTATTAATTATTTAATAATCTCTAAATAGTTCTTTCCATGTTGGAACATAATTATTTTTTAATTCTGTGTTGGCTATTTTATAAGGAGAGGTACCTAAATCACATGGCTTCACATGGGATTAGG